CCAGGTCACAGCAGGCAGGGCAGGGAGGGTCTCTAGCCACATGCCCCATTGCACTCTGGTAGAGGGATCTGTGGTGCATCTTCAAACTCTTAACATTTCAGGGCAGGCCCGCCGCGGTGTGCCCAGCGCTGTTCTGAGCTTTAGGCATCACCACGTCCCTGTCCCACAGTGTCCCTGGGGAGACCCGTGGCATGTCTCCGTTTCATTTGGGAACCACAGGCCTGCAGAGGTGAAGTGCTTTGCCTGGGTTTTCTGACTGTGAAGCACTGGCAGAGAGGGTCACACCTGGGCTCTGCCCAGGGTACTGGCCACCAGCCAGGCCAGGCTCCTCTAGTGTTTGTGGGTGGCATCTCAAGGCGGCTTGAGTTGTCAGGTGCCCCCAGGTCTTTACTTGTGGACACCAGAATGGCCAAGAGGCTGCCTGGTAGCTCTGCTGAGGGTGCAGATGTGGAGGATGTCCCACAGCGTCCTTCAGTATGGTCGTCATGGAAACCATGGCAGTAAAGCTGTCCTCCCAGCAGGGTGCCTGTAAGAGATGCTGCGGAGTCCATGTGGGATTGGTGTGGCCCAGGGATTCTTGAAATTGTACCGCGCCACCCTGTTCGTGTTGGTGTGGATCCCGTAGTGCCATGGTTCAAGTGGAGGTGGTGTGACCCCAGAGAGGAGTGCTGCAGCCCCCATTGTCCAGAACCTGTGGGATTGCACTCCTGGATGGCTCTCACTGAAGGGTGCCCTAGGACACAGGGTGCTGCAGCTTGTCTGTGGTTTTATCAGGTGTGGAACGTGGCTTAGCTGGCAGGGGCTCTGGAGAGCTCTTGGGAGAAATCTTGTGCAACATATTCAGGCACCTCTTGTGCCAATAAACGCTAGTTTTTAGCTCATGAAACTTGTAAATCTCTTTTCCCACTGACTGCCTGGAAGCTCTGACTCCTTTGTAGCCAACAGGCCATTGTTACACCGTCCTTGTTTCTGCTTCCTTTAGACTTCTTTGCCTCATTTGCATCACCTAATTTTCTTAAGGAAGAAAAAAAATCTTGCTGTTTTAAGTTTCTGAGCCTTAACTAAACAAACCTCTGTGGGATGGCTCCTGCAGACCCAGGATTAAGCATTGCCTCCTGCAGTCTCTGAGCTGACTCCTTCCCTGACCTTTACTCTGATTCTTGGCACCCTAGAGCCTTGGGACCCCTCCACTGGGGCTCCCCCTCAGAGTGGCCACATTTGGTTTCCTTTTTCTCTGTTCTCCCTCCCCATCCCCTTGGAATTTCTGAGTTCTGGGAGGAGAGAGGAAAGGAGCATGTCCCCACGTTCAGAGGCAGCTGTTCCCCCACAGCGCTAGCTTCTGCCTTGTCCCAGGGTCTCCAGCCTGCTGCTGTCCCTCGCAGCCACCCAAGCAGGGAGAGCCAGCAGTAGGGAACTGGGGACACCTTGTAAATGGGGGAGGAGACAGCTCGTAGGCGTGCCCTGGGGACAGGAGAGGAAGGGCCCCACCCTGTCATCAGTCACCTCTCCAGCTCTTGTGTGAAGTGGCTTCAGTCTGCCTCGGAGTAATGAGCTCAAAGGGAGCCAGAAGCCCCCAGGACCTGTCTCCCACTGCACCCCCCCACCGTCCCCGTCTTGTGTTTCTGCAGGTATATAAATATTTGTGCATACTTCTTCTAAAACCAGAGGTGGTGGCAGGTGTCACAGCACATTCCTGGCCCTGGCTGTTCTGACACTACAAGTTAGATGCTCCTTCCTTGCCAGTCTGAGCATCCCTGGAGCCCTCCCTGGGAAGGGCAGGGGCTCCTGAGTAGTGAAAGGATAGGGGGAGGGAAGCGGGGCGGGCTCTCCTCAGCTTCCCGAGGTCTGGAAGCCTCTAAGTTGTGTGTGTAACTTTGTGGGCACAATGGCATTTGTGGGACGCGGAATTGTGTTTTCAAGGGGTCTGTGGCCCAGACAGGGTACAGAGCCGCCCCTGGGTCGCGCTGGATTTCCACCGAGCAGGGAGGGAGGCCAGAGCCACGGATCAGGCCAAAGTGAAGACACAGGCAGAGACACCATGCTCTGGTCCCCCCTGCGAGATGCCTGGGTGCACCGCCGAAGCAGCCCCCAGGGTGGACCCCGAGCGAAGTGAGTTAGAGAAGCCCGCTGGTCAGAGCTTGGGGCCCTCTGCTTCCTGCGACACAGGCAGACCCAAGCCCTGAGGGGCCAGGCGAGCCCCCACCACCCAGCCGGGAGAAGACGAGGCTGCTCCTGCGGGGACAGAAACTTCTGTGTTCTTCCCCTCCTGAGGGGAGAGGCCTCGGATGGGGAGGCTGCCTGTTGCTGCTTGCTGTGGCGTGTGGCAGAGGAGCCGGGCGGGGGCGGTCTCCACACCTCGCTGCTTCCCGCAGCCCTGTCTTCCCTCGCCTGGCCGCTGCTCCTGCTTTCACCGGCCAGGAAAACTCCGGGCCGGGAGGCTGCACTACAACATCTGGCCACTAGGGGTCAGCGGGAAAGCCCCTGCAGTGCCTATGGCAGGGAGAGGGGCTGGGAAGAAGGGAGGTGGACGGCGGTCTGTGTCCTGTCAAAGTCAGGTCCGTGGGTGGGCTGCAGGGTGATTTGTAATGAGGCGCTTCCCCCAGAGACAAAAGCAAAGCCTTAACGATGATACATTACCCTCGTGCTGGGCTCCGCAAGAACTGGTCTCCCAGTGGCCTCATTATAATCACCTCCATTTTGCAGGTGAGAAAACAGAGGCCCAGAGAGATTATGAGATCTAGACCAATTCCCACAGCCAGTGAGTGGGTGATCTGGGCGAGCCTGCACCTTAACTAAGTGTCTGGCATTGTCTAAATCCTTTAAGAAGCCTTTCAATTCTTACAATCACTGCGGCAGGTGGGGAAACTGAGCCTTGGAGGCTGCCGGTGAGTTCCCCAGGCGCATGTTCCTGCTGAGTGGAAGGTTCAGGCTGACCGGCCTGAACTTGAGTTTTGCAGAATCAAGTTCTACTCCCTCTGCCTGGGGCTGCCATTGGAAGCTGGTGGATGCTGAGATCCGAGCTTGCTCCTGGGCATGGAGTTAGTTCATCGCTTTCCGGCACATAGGATGGATCCTGGGCTCCAGCGTCAAGGCAGGACCCACCCAAGGGGGCCCTGGGTGCTGCCTTCCACCTGGAAGCGCAGGGTACTGAGCAGTCCTTGGCAGTGGCCAGCGCTCCCTTGAGAACGGCTAGTCCTGGCCCTGGGGCTCTGGTTTCCAGGACAGATGCCTCCAGCATACCAAGGACGCTTGGCCAGCCCTGGACCTGGCTCTGCCAGGCTGGGGAGCAGGGCGTCTCCAAGAGGGCCAGGCTTCCCCGTCTTCCTGTTCCAATGCCCTGGCTATGGCCCCCTGGAGGTGGGGATGGCCTGAGGCTGGGCTTCCATCTCCCACTGTGCCCAGGCTGCACCTTGTGATCCAGGTCAGCCATTTTAGGGACAGATGTCACCAAGCAGAGTAGCAGTTCCTTCTAATCCTGGCCTTACACTTTGCTGGGTCGGGTCAGGAGGGGCCTAGGGCAACCGGTTGGATCCTCCTCTTTGGCAAACTTGCAGATTCAGACATTGCATCTTGGGGTCCTAGATCTCAGGTGAGAATTGTTAAGAGTGAAAATATGAGAGAACCAGCGACTAGGTCCAGGAAGATTTGTGTGTGGACTTCACAGCAGATGGGCTGGCCTGGCATCCTGTGCGTGCCCCTTTGTGGTTTGTGAGCTTAGGCTAGTCATCTTACTGCCAGGAGCCTCAGCTTCCCCCTCTGGACAATGGGCAGTGAGAGTCAACCTCAAAGGGTTGGCATAGGGAGAGATGGATGCCCACGGAGGAGTGCATGCCTAGGAGCACCCTGGGGAATGCCCATGAGACTGGCCTTCCCAGGCATGATTTTACCCATAAAACCCCAGGTGGGACCTGCCCCCCAGGAGAGCTGGGAGAGTTCTGGGACAAAATACATTCAAGTCCACAGCATTGCAGCTCAGAGGCAGACCCCCCCAACCTAAAACCATCACCCACACTCCTGTGGATTGGCATTCCCTGCTGCTTTCTTCTTGAATGGTGTTTGTTCCCTTTTGTCTTGGGCACTTGGGCAGAGGAGTGCCCTGCACTTGGCAGGGGAGCTAGGTTCCCAGAAGAGGGGCTTTCCTCAGTCCCAGATGGGGGCAGCATCCCCTGACACCAGAAGCAAGGCCAAGTGGGGTGGGGTGGGGTTGACGATGTGGATTTTCTGCCACTCAGGGACCTATGGAAAGTTTTGCATTTAAAACGAGACACCGAGGCTGGCTGGGTTTCTTCCCTTGGGGCTGACCCAGGGGCCTGAACCCTGGCTGGAGTCTGACCTGAAGGGACTGTGCTCTCTGCTGTTTCTTTCCTGCTCCTTGGTTGTTGAGCCTTTACTTCTCTCCCTCTGAGCCATGAGAGTGAGGGACAGCCTCTCCTGTGGATGTGGGGGATACCGTGGTGCCTGGATGCGGGGAGCCAGATTTGCCCCTGGCCCAGCCCCAGAGGAGCCACAGCACCTAGCAGTAGTGTGCCCTGTGGCTGCAAAGCACAGGTGTCCCCCATCAGCCCTGAGTGGCTCCCACCCAGACCAGACAGTGGAGGGAAGGGTTCCGCTCTGTCTCGCCCCGGCTGACACCTGGCTTTTCTCCTATAAATTCAGATCCCCCTCGGTCCGTTAATCAAATGTGTGTTTGAAGTCAAGTACAGTTCAGCTGGAGGAACAGAAAGTCTGAGAAAGTGGGGTCTCTTGGGGAGGGGGCGGTGGAGCAGGAGCCCTGGGAGCCTTCCTTCTGTTTGGGTTACAGCAGCTGGTGGACGGAGGTGGGCTCTCTGGGCCGAGGGGCTTCTGCATGGAGTTCTTGGGGAAAAATAAATCAGGTAAAGACGTGGTGCTTTGGAAGTGCGTGGCAGAGTCACTACCCCTACCTGGGCCGTGTAAGTCGGACTTACTAGAACTCGGGAGGTCTGCAAGGCTCCCTGGACCACTTCTGCTTTGCATTTCAGGTAGCTGCTTTGCCCTCTTCCGTGTGGCTGGGGAAGAGGAATCCTTCCTGGTTGTCCCTTGGGAGCTGTGCTTCTGACCTGGATGCTTGGCGCTGAGCCCTCCACCTGCCCTGTACTTACTCACTGAACAGGTCGGACTTGGGAAGGGGAGACCTGTCTCTCTGGTTTCAAATGCAGAACCAAAGTGGGCTGTGCTGGCACTCAGCGGGCTGTCGCTCAGGCTGGCTGGCCTCTGCCTGTGGACCCTGGGCCAGCAGAGGGCCCAGGATCCTTGGGAGGGCATGGGCGGGCAGGTTAGGTCAGTGAAGGTGTTGTGAGGCCCAGGGTGCAGGGCCAGACCTTAGGGACCAGAGGTGATGCTCAGCTGGGGCCTTGGACTCAGTGGGCAGTCCAGGGGGCATGCAGGGCCCTCATCTCTGGCCCTGGGGGTAGCCTGTGGGATACAGGGCCCAAGAGAGTGTGGGAAGAGACCCTGGGCACCTAGCCTCACCCTCAGGATCCTCCCTGTCTCTGCAGGCTGCTGCCCACTGGGCTGCTGCACAGGGTCAGACCGCTGGACCACTGCTGGCTTGGCCTGTGACACTGGTGGCTCTAGACTGTCCAGCTTAGGACAGCCCCACTTTGGTAAGTGTTCGGCTCCCTGAGAACTGCCCAGCATGTGCTTGGCCAGCTGGTATCTGAGCTCAACCCTCAGGATATTTACAAGTGCTTGGGTCCCTTGGCCACGCACTGCCCTTTCTGGTCTCTGTGGTTCCTCCCCACCCCCACTGCACGGGGTGGGCTAGTGGGCTAAGGGCAGAGCTGTGTCTCATCCCCAGGCCAAGAGAGGCTTTGCGGGCAGCTCACCCTGTGACAGTGTGGCAGCAAACCCTGGTGCCTGGGAACGGATGCTGCTGTGGGCCAGCTGCCTGTTGGACACTGCAGGAGCCCAGAGGCCCACAGCTGGAGGCAGCTGTCCCTTGTTCCTGGCCCAGTTGGCCTGGACAAGATGCTGCCTGTCCTTCCACCAGGGCCTGGGTTCAGAAGGAGGCACCTGCTGTGACAGAAGAGAATTGGGCCCAGGAGATGCTGGCAGGGTGGCAAGTGGTGACAGGGTGTGGGCCTGAGGCTCCCTTAGGCTTGGAGCTGGGTATGGGACTGATCTTGAGCTCTCCAGAGCTTCCTGAAGCTCCTCAAAGTCCACCAGGGAGTGACAGTGTGGAGTTCAAGTTTCTTAGCCTTCAGGCGTATGGGGAGTTCTGGGCAGAGGCTGGGGGTTTCCTGGGTGCCCTGTGCCATGGAAGGCATCTGACCACTGGCCACTTTGCCTGCAGACCTTGTGCCTTGGAGAAGCAGCCCCATGACGGTGGCCAGCCATGCAATGCTCCTGGAAGGCCGTCCTCCTCCTGGCCCTGGCCTCCATTGCCATCCAGTACACGGCCATCCGCACTTTCACCGCCAAGTCCTTCCACACCTGCCCTGGGCTGGCCGAGGCTGGGGCGGCTGAGCGGCTGTGCGAGGAGGGCCCCACCTTTACCTACAACCTCTCTCGGAAGACTCACGTTCTCATCCTGGCCACCACACGCAGCGGCTCATCTTTCGTGGGCCAGCTCTTCAACCAGCACCTGGACGTCTTCTACCTGTTTGAGCCCCTCTACCACGTCCAGAACACGCTCATCCCCCGCTTCACCCAGGGCAAGAGCCCGGCCGACCGGCGGGTCATGCTGGGTGCCAGCCGCGACCTCCTGCGCAGCCTGTATGACTGTGACCTCCACTTCTTGGAGAACTACATCAAGCCGCCCCCTATCAACCACACCACAGACAGGATCTTCCGCCGAGGGGCCAGCAGGGTCCTCTGCTCCCGCCCAGTGTGTGACCCCCCGGGAAACCCTGACCTGGTACTGGAAGAGGGGGACTGTGTGCGCAAGTGTGGCCTCCTGAATTTGACGGTGGCGGCTGAGGCCTGTCGTGAGCGCAGCCATGTGGCCATCAAGACAGTGCGGGTACCTGAGGTGAATGACTTACGGGCTCTGGTCGAAGACCCCCGCTTGAACCTCAAGGTCATCCAGCTGGTCCGAGACCCCCGGGGCATTCTGGCCTCCCGCAGCGAGACCTTCCGTGACACTTACCGGCTGTGGCGGCTCTGGTATGGCACAGGGAGGAAGCCCTACAACCTGGACGTGACGCAGCTGACCACAGTGTGCGAGGACTTCTCCAACTCTGTGTCCACTGGCCTCATGCGGCCCCCGTGGCTCAAGGGCAAGTACATGCTGGTGCGCTATGAGGACCTGGCCAGGAACCCCATGAAAAAGACTGAGGAGATCTACGGCTTCCTGGGGATACCCCTGGATGGCCATGTGGCCCGCTGGATCCAGAACAACACGCGGGGTGACCCCACCCTGGGCAAGCACAAGTATGGCACCGTGCGGAACTCGGCTGCCACAGCCGAGAAGTGGCGTTTCCGGCTCTCCTATGACATTGTGGCCTTTGCCCAGAATGCTTGTCAGCAGGTGCTGGCCCAGCTGGGCTACAAGTTGGCCAGGTCGGAGGAGGAGTTGAAGAATCCCTCCATCAGCCTGGTGGAGGAGCGGGACTTCCGGCCCTTCTCATGATGTGGGTGTGTGGTGGGGTGGGGTGTGGGGTCAGTTTTGATGACATGGACCATTTCTAACTGTTGCCTTATTCCCCCCACCCCCAGCCCTGTCCCACCCCATCATTGTGTCCTCCCTGCCCCTGCCTGCCCTTTCCCCTCCTGCCTATTTTTGTCTCTGAAATTTGCACTACGTTTTGGAGGGGAATTGCTGGGGCAGAGGGCTGAGAAGTGGGGCCGCCCTACCCCACTCCCCATGCAGACACGCAGATGTTGGGTCTCTTGGTGGACCATGATGATGTTTACAAGCACCCCACTCATATATTCACACACGCACATGGGCATTGGTGGGGAGAGGCACCCCCACCTCCAGGCTCCAGGCTTCTGGGACAGGTGAGTGTGGGGCATGGTGGTCTGTACTATCTTCTTACTTCTGCAAGGGAAGGGGATAAAAATGCAGGACCACCTCTTACTAACATAGGAAAGGGGTCTCCCTCTCCCCTCCCTGCTTCCTGCCCCAATATCCACCTTCTCCCTTAGAGCAGAGATCCCACCACCCCCTGCCACCCTTGCCTGTTAGGGAGCAGGTTCTAACTGTGAGGTGAACGTGGGCCCTGTTGATCTTCTCCAGTCTGTGGTGATGCTGTCTGTCTGTCTGTCTGTCTGTCTGACTGTCTGTCTGTCTGTCTGAATCTTGTGGCTGCCCCTGGACTGGCAATGGCGGATGAGTCTTCTTATTATGAGTTTCTGGTTGACCTTGGGGTCTGTCTGTGAAATTTTTTTGTGCCAAAAAGAAAAAAAAAAAAAAAAAAAAAAAAAAAGAGTGGATCAGTTTGCTAAATGAACATTGAAATGCTTTACCTGTGTTTTCTGTAAATAAAAGTGTGCAATAGTATCAGAGTGTGGCTGTGGGCTATGCTGGGCTGCCAGAGCCCACCTCTGTGGGGCCTAGGGCTTCTTGGGAGAAGAGCAAGAGAGAGGCAGGGAGGGGAATTAAAGGACGGGAATGCCTTTCAGAAAGCTTGTCACCCTCCATACTGACCTGGGGCTTCTTTTTCCTTCTGTCCATGGAGACCATCAAGGGTTGTGGCTAGAGGCAAGGATGGCCCTGCCCCCTTCTTTCCTGTGCAGCATGTTGCTCCTCTAGTTGGGGGTCTGGGGTGCTGTGTGTGTGGGCTGTTCGAGGGGTGGGTGTTTCAGCGGCTCAGCACAATGGCTGTTTAGAGACCAGCCTTCGAAAGTTGTAACAAGCACTACAGGTTTATTGGGGCCTTTGTGGGTGGAGGGTCTGCCGCATTTACTCCCACTGGCCCTTGGCAACCCTGCAGGTTCCTCCAAGCAGCTTCCTTGGCTTTTTGCAAGAGAGCAGCTGGTCCCTGGGGGAGGCTGGAGGTCACAGCTTGCTGGCTGGGACAATGGGAGGGCCTGGTGGTGGAGGGCCGGTGGGAAGGAGGGCTTCCTGAGGGAACTTGGCCATAGGCTATATTGTGTGAGCTGAGAGGATGTAGATTCAGGAGCCTGAGCCAATGCCTTAATTAATAGGAGCCCAATCAAAAGATGCCATTTCCTTTGGGGGTTTTTCCAATTCTTTTTCAGTGAAGTAAAATACATATAACAAGAGTTTCCATCTTTACCATTTTTTTTTTTTTTTTTTGGTGGAACCAGGGATTGCACTCAGACCCTGGCGCTTGCCAGGGAAGCACTTATTCCACTGAGCCATCTCCCCAGCCCCAACCATTTTTAATTATACACTTCATTAAATATATTCATAATATTTGCAACCATCCCCACCATCCCACTCTGTAACTCCTCACTGGTGAAGCTGCAGCCTGCGCCCATTGGACAATGATTCCCTATTGTCTCCTGTCCAGCTCCTGGCAACCACTGCCCTTTCTTTCTCTAAGTGGAATCCTGTGGTATTTATCTTTTTGTAACTAACTTATTTCACTTAGCATCACGTCCTCAAGGTTCCTCTGTCTTATAATGTGTCAGGATTTTCTTCCTCTTCAGGGCTGAGTAATATTCTAACAATATATTGCATTTTTTCCTTATTCATCCACCCCTCTATGGTTACTTGGGTGCATCTATATATTTTTAGCTGTTGTGATTGTGCTGCTGTGAACGTGGACGTACAACTATCTCTTTAAGATGCCACTTTTAACTGGGTGGAGTGGTGCATCCCTGTAATCCTAGCACTGTAGGAGGCTGAGACAGGAATATCGCCAGTTCGAGCCTGGGCCATCCTGGACAACTTAGTGACTTAGTGAGATCTTCTTTAAAAATATAAAATAAGAGTTGGCAATGTAGCTCAGTGCAAAGACCCTGGGTTAACCCCCAGTCGGGGAGGGGGTAAAAAATCAATCCTGCTTTCAATTCTTGGGTGTGTAGATCCAGAAGTAGACTGGCAATTCCATTTTGAGGAGCTGCCATGCTGTACTGTACTGGTCACAAAACACTGGTACATACAATGTGAGGAAGGACATGGTGTATTTTGGCTGTGACTACAAGGCTTTCAGTTCCTGGCTGGTGGCTCCTGGGTGGGAACATCATGGTGGAGGGCAGAGTGAAGCCAAGCTGCTCAGCCAGTGGCGTCTGGGAAGCAGAGAATGGAGGAGGCCTGTGAGGAGGAGGCCAGGGACTTGATGCAGTCTCCGAGGTCATGCCCTTCCTGTGATCCACCCCACAACCCAGAAGTGTGCTTCACTGGTCTAGACATCTCTCAAGACAGTCAAGCAGACATCAAGATTGATCTGACACATTTTCCATTCCCATCAGCAGCACATAAGAACTCCATGTTCTCCACATCTTTATCAACATGTACCCTCTCTTCCTCTGTTCCTTTTTCTTTTTGATACCATCCTAATAGGCCCAAAGTTGTAAACTGGGCCATTTTCTTTCATTCTCAATAGACATAAGCTACTCAGGTCTGGCATGGTGCCTCCCAGCTATCAGGAGCCCTGGTTCTGTCCATGTTGTTGCTGCTGTACCTTCCTAAGGTGTCCTTGGATACATAGCCCAAGATGGGTTGCAAGTAACAGAAGGAGAAAAGTGGGAAGGGAAGTATCCTCCTGCCATGTATAAAGATAACTCCAAAGTTACAGACGTCATTTTTACTCATGTCTCATTGGCTAAAGTTTGGTCATGTGATCATACCTAGCTGCAAGGGAGTCTGGGAGTATGTGGTGCAGCTATGATTATTAAGGTTGGCTAATGAGGCCAAACCTGGTCTCTCTGGAATTCCAGTTTCTCTTCTGCAAAAGGCAGGCAGAAGATTTTCTCCACCTCTGGCTCATCAGAGCTTTTTTTCCAGCCTATGGTGAGCAAGTCATCCAATCAGTTGGCTTCATGGCATCTGATCCCATGTGGGGTTCACCCAGTGCCCCTGGCCAGTTGTTCTAATGGAGGTCACAGTTGGCTGGTCCTGTCCATGATGTACTGAATGATGTGGCACCTGTCTCCTCAGGTGCTCCCCTTTCTTCATTCTCTGGTCACCCTGCTTGGGTTGTCCTAAGCCAGAGACCTTGGTCCTAAGAGTTAGGTGGCTTCACGTTGGAACTGCGAGACAATGGAGGTACTGGATTAGTTGGAAAGAACCTTTCCTCTCAACAGCAGAAGGCCTTTAAAAGGCTGGCAGGGGCTTTCAGAAGAACTCTGTTTGAATAGCAATAGACCCATTCACTTATTAATTTATTCATTGAAATATTTCTTTCTGGGCAGACACTGGGCTTATGGAGACATCAAGAAACAGTCTACAAGAGACAAACAAGCAAAATGATGACCACAGCAGGGACAACCCAAGGGGTCAGTGGTAGAAATCACAAGGTTGCTAGAAGTAGCCACAGGTTGCTCCCCAGGTCACAAGGTCAGTTATATGCATTTCTGCTTTGGCCATGAGAAGTCAAGGCCCCAGTTCCTTCACTGAGCCTGGGGAGGGCAGAGCTGGGCCCACAGAGAGAGGTGAGAAGGGCTTTCCCCGTGGTGGGAGAGGCAGGTGCCGAGGCACGGAGCCAGAAGCTGGGAGCTGGGCACTGTGCAGGCTGCGGGCAGGGATGCGTGGTCTGGACCAGGCCCCAGGTAGCACCCTTAGCTTCTCAGGCCAGGAAGCGTTGCCTTGTGAGGCATTGTTTTGGATGACTAAGCCCACTGGACAGAGCCCAAACCCAGATCACTGTCCTGTTTTTAGGACAAAACTCTTGTAGTGTTTTTGCAGCCCCGCATGTCCTAGTTCCTGCTGCCTCATGTATCTTTCTCTCTTAGCTTCTCTTCCCTCTTTACTTTTATGCTGCCATGTATTTTCCAGTTCCTTGATCACACTGGGATAGGTTTTTGCAGTGACAGCCCTCAATGTGCTCTTGCCTCCCTGGGAGGATATTGTTGTGAGCTATATCTGGAGGTCCCCTGAATCCTCACGCACACACAGGTGATGGGATTGTGGGGAGGTTACAGCCAGATGTGATGTTAAGAGGTTGGGCCTGGTTAGGAGAGGTGGATCAGTGGGGTCCTGGCCTGGCAGGATCTGTCTCCCTCCTTGTTTCCTCCCTTTATATACTCTGATCCTGTCCACCATGCTCCGAGCAGCCTCCCCAACAGGCCCCTCTGCCATGCCTCCCCACTTTGGAGCCAGCCTGTTGGGAGCAATGGAAGCTAGCAAACTGTTCAGTTGTGTGTAGGCAGCACTAGGCCCCAGTGCTTAAAGCAGCCAAGCTACCTCACTCTTGAGATAAGCATCCTGCCTGGTTAATGTTAGCTATCAGTCACTAGGCAACCTTGTGTCATGTGTTACTAACTTTGCGAAGGTATAAATAAATGTCCCAACTGTTTCTCAGGGGGATGTCTCACCAACCAGGCAGACGAGTCACCACCTAACTCAGCTTTTGTCTTCTTGTCCTTGTTTTCCTCATTCCTGCTGCCATTTCTCCCTGGGTACGTTGGATTGCACTGAGACCAACGGATCCTTACACCAGCCGACCATGGAACTTCTGCAGACTGTGAGCCAGCATACATCCAAGCTATGAGGGAGCTAATGGAGCCACACGCCTCTGGCTGGGGTCCTGTACTGACTGTGGCCTTAGCCAGGGGCCTTGCTTTAGGATTAAGAGCAGGCACAGAGGTGTGAACGCTGCCTCTTGGAAGTTTCCAACTCCAGGTGGAGGAAGGCTAGGGTAGCTTGCTGGGAAAGAGCCCAAGAGCCCCAACAGGTGGTCAGCCAGGACATAGCCTGGATGGCTAAAGCACTCTGCTTGAGCCCAACCTAAGTTCTGACCTTCAACATGGCGGTTAAAAACACGGTTGTTGCTGGGTGTGGTGGCACCCATCTGGACTCTGGGCTACATGGGATACTGAGGCAGGATGATCCCAAATTCAAGGTCAGCATGGACAACTTTCTGAGACCCTGTCTCAAAATAAAATAAAAATTAAAATTAAAAGTGCTTGGAATATAGCTCAGTATAGAGCACTTGCCCAGTATGTGTGAGGCTCCGAGTTCAATCTTTAGCATAAAAAAAAAAAAAAAGTTGTTGTTTTAAGCCATGAAATTTTGGAGTGATTTATTACACAGCAAAATCTAACTGATACATGTGCCGTTTTCTGTCTCGAAGCAGGTCTTTTTACAGAAGGTTCCTTGTGCCTGCATTGTTCACATTCCCCTCTTTAGTCAGAGAATTGATTCTTTGGCTCTCAACCTACTTGTCACCGCTTCCTTGGTTTTACCAGATTAGTTCAGTAGCCCTAATAATAGGACCTTAGAGAACTGATTATGTATCTTATATAGCCTGATTGTGGGTTCTTCGGATGTTATAGGCACCTCCTTTATTGTGTTTACCACAGTGTAGCCGCACTGTTTACAACAGGACCTGGCA